AAGGCGTGTACTCAAAAGAATAAGGCAGCAATAAGAGCGATGTCCAAATAAAAAAGTGATGACTTTCGAGCCCACGACTTATTCAGGGCGAGGAAATAAGTCGGCGAAAAAAGTTGTCTCACTGTTCAAGTCGAAAAAAGTTGTCTTGCCGACTTTTGGCTAAAACCTTCCAAAACAAATATCACATGCGAGAGGATTGTCTTTGACACGCATTCTGTTCCGCATTCCGCACTACGCAGTACGCGCGCAAGGAGATCATGCCAACAGTTCTGTCGAAGAGAGGAAGAGTTGCTGCGGCACGTCCGCCAGCGGAGCCCGATTCAGTTTCTTGGGCGCCACAGCCAGCAGAACCCGATTCGAATCACCTGCGGATCGCAAGCGTAACAAAGCCACCTTCGTCCCTCGGTTTGCCCTCCTACTACACTCAATACGAAGAAGATCGATCCAACACAAATGACAAGAGCTCCAGCGACGAGAGTGGTGCATCACCGCCATATCATTCTCCTCCTGACACTGCGTCTGCGGCGAAGAGACCCAGAGTTGCCACAGATCCAGCAAACTTGGTTGATGTTGCCGGATCTGACGGCAACATCACGCCTGCGAGACATGAGTCTAAAACGCGCAAAGTCATGAAGGCCAAAACGACCAAGCCACGTCGTAGAGGGCCTGCTACCACGAAGAAGAAGAAGCCCATGAGCAAGTCTTCACCAGAAGTTTTTGCTGATGCGGTGACTCCACAACCAACCTCTGATCCGCCTTCTTTAAATTCAGGCTCCAAAAAGAAAGCGAAAACGCTCAAGACAAAGAAATCCTCGACGACGGGCAAAACCTCCCAGCAACCTGCTGCGACGAAAAGCATGAAGTGGACCGTGCAGCTTACAGCGATAGCGATCGAAGCACGCTACCGAAACAAGCGAATACTGAAAAAGTTTTCCACTAAGAACTCCAATACGAAGGCGCAACGCGCCATGTGGGAAGATACAATAAACGTATTTCAGGAACGGGCGCTGGCTGAGCAGGCATGGGGGGATAAGGAGCCACGTACTTTGACGGTGAAGCAGTTCAAAAACAAGTTGGATTCCGTGCGATCCAACTACAAGGCCAAAAGGCAACGGATGATGGCAACTGGAAATCGTTCTGCGCGTGACGGCGACGATAGTGATGACAAAGAACGACAGTATCCTGAAATGCCAAACGACTTTCTAATTGATGATGCAGACGAACATTCAGATGAGAGTTTTTCTGAGGGCAACGCACCACGGCGTTCTTTAGCGTGTGACCCCATGAATGTGAACCCAAGTTATCGCAGTGAGCTCGGCGCGGATTTGGCCGCACTCTGGCCGCTGCTATGTGAAGTGTTTTCGAGGCGTCCAGGTTGCACTGGAGAGGCAATTACTGAGACGGGTATTGGCAGAGTTCAAACCCGAGAGAGTGACAGTGAAACCGAGGTGAGCGATGAACAGGAGTCGGACACGGGCTCTAGCGAATCACCTAGTGAAGCACACCAAGCACGTGAAAGAGCAAAAGCAGTAGCGAAAGCAAAGAAGCGTCGTGATACCCAAGTAGAGCAGCCCGCAAAGAAGCGACCCGCAGACGCTGTTAGTGACACACTTCGATCCGGCTTCGAAGCAATTGAGCGTGTGTTTTCAAATCGCCACCAGCCCTCGCGACCTAGCGGGGAAATGACGCAACTGTTTGGCAAATTGGCATCATCAATTGAAGCAACTAATGCACAGCATCAAGCTACAAGTGAAGCTCTGTTGCGTAACTTGGAAGGGCTACATCAACTCACTGCTAGTCTCTTCAGAGAGGTGACCAAACGAACGACGAATAGTCCCGAGATGAGCTAGAACAACTCCTGGCTATGCGTCAGTGACGCTTGATGTTTTTCTTACTCATTATCGTTCTGATAAAAGCGGAGTGCGTATGCATTGCGCTTTTCAATTGCAAGCTTGACTTCTGCTGGAGTTCTATCCCAGTTTCGATTGAATGAAGCCATGACTTGCCTAGCTTCATTTACCTCTTCGCGACGTGCTTCCTCACTTTGTTTTTTGTATTTGAATTGCTTGTCGCCTATGTCGATCAGCAAGTTGTGTAGAACTGCAGCAGCACAAATCATGCGAACGTTCGTGGTATGCTTACGGCGATCTGTCACACCATGAAGCACTTTGAAACGAGATTTCAGTCGCCCAAACACGCATTCCACTAGTATGCGAGTTTCCGAAAGATGGTAATTGTAGCTGCGGTGAATTACGCACTTTAGTATTGGGGTTATGAAGGAGAATGTAGTAAATGCACCGTACCAGCGTTGTATCTTCGTCAGACGCTTGCCCCCACGCTCATCAAATGGAACCATCAAAAATGGCCACAGCTTGAAGCCTGCGTCACCCAACCAATTGATTCCTGGAGGGCAGAGCTCTCGTGCACGAGCGCCTAAAACAGCAGACTGGTTCCACATCGATTGGTCCGAGTTACTGCCACTGAAAACTCCTAGATAACGGAACTTGAAGCGGTAGTCAATCGCCGCCAAACAATTATAGGAAGGCTTGCCACTTTTATCGTAAAATCCCTGCAACCAGGCATCCCACGAAACATATTAGTATTCCTATCCAATTTTGCCTGAGTAATTTACCTGAAAATCACTTGGTCTTCGCGTGTGTATCAGTGTGCCGTCAAAAATGCATGCTACGTCAGGGAAGTCAGCTTTGCGAGCAGCAAATCCATCGGCGAGCTCATTCCATTCATCTTCCGAATGTGGTGCAGGAAAGTATATCACGTCGTCCATCATCTCAAAGAGCAGTTTCTCTAGATTGTCAATGTAGCGACTCGCCACAGGTCGCGACATGCCAAGTTGTGCAGCAGCTCCTCCTATGCCATCTCCGTCCTGACCGCATCCATTTCCGTAGTATGTGAGCAGCACTCCAAGACCATGATCGAATGCGTACTGAGTATTCTTCCCCGGCAGCCCGTACTTGGCGCAGTAGGGAGTCTCCAAGAACGAGCAGAGAGCATCAAATGACTCAGGCATGCAGCGAAGAGTCTTTCGGTACGCTTTCGGTGACCGTTGTGCCTTCAGCTTTGGAAAGAAGTCCGAGCGAATGGTGATCCTCTCGCTGGGGTCTGCTCGAAGTGACCTCCAGTCCATCGTACCAAAAGCAGCCCCTAGTACAATGAACATCAAGCTAATGATCAGAAACGCGTGCTCATCTGTGTCATCATCACTTTCCGCGGTCATGTTCACATCCATTTCCCACAGAGAATCCTGTGAATCCTGCTGACGGCGGTGGAGATTACTGCCAGCAAGCGTGTCCCGGTTAGCCGCTGCATCTGCCACGACGTCTTCGACACTGTCGACGTCCATGGCAACGTTATCTGCGCGCAAATCGTGCGCAGAATGACGCTCCATGGCGACGTTGTCTT